AAAAACCATACTTTTAAAAGTCACATTTCATATGATTAACATTAAAATTGCCCCCTTTTCTCCTGAAAGAACAGTTTTTCATATGCTGCAGCGTACTACAATTTGTGTCCGCTCTGCTTTGACATACTGTACATTATGAAGCAATTTTACACACTCACACACACACACACACAGAGAAAGACACCCAGCACGCAATTCACCTTGAGTGTCACGCTTAGAGGTTCAGCTGCAGCGGTGGAGTGAAAGGAGGGGTGTGGGGAGGGGAAATGAGGGAGATGTTGCACTTACCTACAGGCAGATGTTGGACTGAGCCCCCCCCCCCCATCTCCTCGTCCTCCCCTCCTCACCCCTTGCTTTAGCTGGGCCGATGCGCCAAAGAGAGAGGAGCAATAAAGCGAGAGCGGAGAAGAAAAGGAGACTGGGAAGAAGAAGTGCTTCGTTCTCTCTTCTCTCAGTCTGTGTCCCAGGTGCTGCCTCTGCAGTCTCTCTCCCTCTCTGTGTTTAGCCACTCTCTCTCTCTTTCTCTCTCTCTCTCTCTAACACTCCCCTCTTCTTTTCCTTAATCTCTACCTCTTCCTCGCGTTGAAAACTTTTATTCCGGCTGCACAGCTCGCTCTCCCCACCGCTCCTCTGCCACTGATTCCTCTCTCCCTTCTGTGCCATTCATCTCCCTCCCTCCCCTCTCACACACACACTGTCCCATGCAGTCTATAGGCCACCATGCTATGCAGTTGACTGCCCACTCCCCTTTACATAGCATGTGCTCTCATTGTCTCTCTCTCCCTGCTCGCACTCTCTCTGCCTCTCTTTCGGTCAAACTACAGTAGCGTTACGGTCCCACGCTGGGCAGACGGTGGTGATGATGGGGTTGAGTGGCATATGTAGCGTGGCATGTGGACAGGTTGAATGGGGGAAAGCAGTCAGAGCAGACTAAAGGAATGTCAATATGTGTGTGTGTGTGTGTGAGTGTGTCAATCTGTAAATGTATGTCAGCATGCACAGTGTGTGTGTTTGTATGTGTGTCTTCAATTGCCCTTGTTGCTTGAGTGAACCCTATTCACCTGAGGCCCCCTGCCCCCTCCCATTAGCTTCAGCCCCAGATCCACAAGCAACCAACCCTCCCCATCATACACACACACACACACACACACACACACACACAACACACACACAAACACACACTGACAAAGACCTCCCCCTCTCCTCTCCCGTCCCCCAGCCCCCTCCTGCCCTCCCTCCCTGTCCTCTCAGAGATCAATACCAATTTATAGGCAAATGCACAAAGGCTGAGTCGCACTTTTAATGAATTGAACCATTGCTAACGTCAGGCATCTAATGAAGGCTCTGAGAGAGGCGTTAAGGAAAGCTATGGTGGGAGCAGGAGGAAGCGTACAAGGGTTATTGGGAGTGTGTGTGTGCTCTTTGTGCAGCTGTGTTTGAATTATGGGCCAACAGCTGTGACTGTGTCGCAATTTTCCAACTGGTCTTCCCCTTCAAATATTTGATCCCACTAATTATATGAGGCCAGTTATGATTATCGACGGCTCAATACCACTTTTTTTATATCCGATACATGCCCATTTCCCTACCTTAAAGGTGCAGTGTGTAACGTTTAGGAGGATCTATTGTCAGAAATGGAATATAATAATCACCTGAAAATAAGAATAGTTGTGTTTTTGTTACCTTAGAATTAGCTGTTTTTATCTACAGAGGGAGCGGGTGCTCTTCTGGCGGAGTCCGCCACGTTTCTACAGTACAACAAAACACTGGATCTAGATAGGGCCAGTTTTTCATGGGTTCCACAGCCAGCGTACTTTCTCCTACACGCTTGGAAGGCTGAGCTGCAAATTCACCACCAAGATGCCACTGAATCATACACACTGGTCCTTTAAACAAATAGTAATACATTTGTATGGATGTGCTTTGCTTAACCTAGCCAACCTATATAAACTTTTTCACACAGAAATTTTAGGAGCATTTTTGATTGGTCAGTTCCATTCAGACATTTATGAAATTTTGATAAATTGCATTCGACGCCAAGTATTATTCTTAAGTTGCTAGCCAACGGCAGCAATTTTTTATCATATTCACTGATTTTTCAAGAATATTATTTTCTATGTAGTGACTACATCAAAAGAAAGATTTTCTTATAGAATATTTTCATCCACAAAAAACATTTCATTACAACATTCTTTTTGTAACAGTGAAAACACAGATGGCGTCAATGAAGCATTCCGTCTTTAATTATGGAAAATCTTATTAATGTAATTACTAAATGAGATGGTGTTTTTGTTTATGTAAGGAATCAGTATTAAATTTAGACTGTTTCATAACCAGTTAAAAACTTAGGTTTAACTATTTATGTAATAGTTTAGGCAATTAAGGGATCATATTGGAACATCAATCCAGGGATTTTGGCCAGTAACAGACTAGGCAGCTGTGGCTCAGGAGGTAGAGCGGGTCGTCCACTAATCAGAAGGTTGGCCATTTGATCCCCAGCTGCTGCTGCTGCATGTCGAAGCAAGATTCTGAACCCCAAATTGCTCCTGATGCTTTTCATCAGTGTGAATGTTAATGAATGAGTTAGCTTCTGTTTGTGATGGCCTTTGCCATCCCTGTATGAATACGGAAAGTAGTGTGAAATGCTTTGAATGGTCGAAAGAAGGCACTTTATATGTACAGTCCATTTACCATTTACCATACCAATGCTTAATATCAGATTGGTGCAGTTATGACATAGTGGATGAACTGAGAGTAAGAACAAGTAGTGGTTTAAAAAAAAACCTTGAGCAGCCACCCCAGCATGCATTGCTCCTGGAAGTGCTGGCATTGCCAAACTGCAATATCAGGAAGTCTTTCTTTCGTCTTTGGCTGTCAACCTTTCACCTTGAATGACAATTACAGCTAATCAAATCTCCATGAAACAGACATTGAGGCTGGACTGTTGACACAGCAGTATTCTCCTCACAACTATTTATTTTCTTCTTACATGCAAGGGACAAAGCGTGCATTTTTCTATATGAGTGTGCCTCCACAGTGAAGTGTAAAATGGATATCTTGTAAAAGCAGCATTGTGGATATTTTTTGTGCATATCCACTCGAGTGCACTGCACAGGTACTGTATATTGCTTTTCCATGCTATATAATTTGACTCCTGTGTCTTCTCTTGCGCTATGAACACACAAATTGCCTGAGTGTATCAACTGCATCCGCAAAAACCTATGTGGATATGTCATCCTCTGTAGCCCCCAATAGCCCCTTTTTGTGTTCCTACCACTGTGTAACCAGTGCCATGGGGGCTGTGCACATCAGTCCTGCCCGCCCAGTAATTAAACTAAAAGTCCCTTCCATAAATCACACTCGTCCTCTCCTCTCTCTTCCTCTCTCTAATTCCTCCCCTCTTTTCTCCCCCAGCGATAGAACGAAAGGTTTTGTAAATCACCAGCGGTGGCTGGTAAACGAGGCGCACAAGCACACTCCAGCCCGGCACTAGACGCATTACGAAGAATTAAGCTGCCTATCCACTCCGGCCTCTGCGCCTCCCCCCGTCCCAGTATTCCAGGCAACAATTACAATTCTCCAGTGAGGAAGAGCCAACTGTGGTAGATTGCAAGATAAGGGCAGTGTGTAATATGCACCCGCATTGCACTGTGATACACAGCTTGGCAGGAAATGGATGGAATTTGCCAACATCTGGCACGACTCCTGCAATCCTTACAATAGGGTGCAGTATCGAAAGGCATTTTTCATCCCAATAAACCAGTCGGAAACTAGTCGGCTCATCCTCTCCCTCTTGTAAACCTTTCTGTACACGTTCAAAGCTGCTGCACTTAAGCTAACACCATATAAAGCCAAGTTTCACACCCACTGGGAGATCGCTTGCTAGACAGAAAGACAGATAGATTGCTTTCAAACAGCTGCAGGTCTGCTATAACCGCTCCTATAGGGCCAGGCTGGGACACCCGATACCTCGCCACCTCCAGCAATTCACCATGAAGCCTGTCAACGCTTGAGGGGATCAGACGCTTGACAGACAGCTGACCGCTGCTGATCTCCCTGGTATCTGCTAACTGGATAAAAGTAGCCTGGGTAGGGAGACAGAGGGACTGGAGCATATGCATGACACTTTTAGAACCCCAGCTTCTACTTTAACCTCTCTCTCAGGAGAGTCACACGTGTGTGTGTCCCCGTCTATAGATAGAGCTGAGGTCTCGGTGGGATGGCCGCACCAACACTGAGTTCAGCTAGAACGTACTCCTGTGACGTTTCTGCAGATGAAGCTCACCTGTCTGGCCGACAAATATAGTACAGGAAGCAGGTTCAGTCACTGCCATTAAATAATAAAAAAAAAGTGCATCAGAAAAACAAAAAAGCCGTGGAACTGATGCAGAGAACGCGAACAGAAGGAAATATTTCATGTGGATTTTTAAAGAGCGATACATAATATGATTGTTCATGTCAAATGACGACTACACATACATTCATACATTGATAAATTCAAATCAGTTTTGCCCAAGTTAGTTACCTTTATGTTGACGCACTTACACTCAAGCACTGTGTAAATTCATGCATCATATATAACCTTTATTTAATGTCTCATTCTCAATTAGAAAGAGACATATTTTTATTTTAAATGGTTTCCACTGAGTACAACAAGCTGATTAGAAAACACTCCAGTATGTGTAACACCTCAGAGAAAACCCTTGACCTTTTAACCCCAATGTGTGGAGATTTGACAATACATGCACTGTAAGCTCTGCTACAACAATCCTAACGAGGAGTGTAGCAATACATAAATAAATAAGAAGACTCTTTCCAGCTCCTTAACTCACAGTCTATTTTTTTTTTTTTCATAAAGAGCAGCTGAGAAAAAAACTGTAGTGTGTGTGTGTGTGTGAAGGTGGCTGGGAAAAAGCATACAGAAACACACATTCACAAATATATGCAGCAAGTAAGCACACATTTGACAAATTTATCTACGCAAACGCAGAGACACCTACCGTAGCAAAAGGTGATCCAGATAGGGATGCTGGCCCGTGCGGAGTGAAGCAGTCGCTGCAGGCGGAGTCTTTCCTTCCCTGGGAGCTGAATCAGCGATGGAGAGTTTAAGGTTGCAGAGAGGAGAAGAGGAGAAGAGGAGGAGGAGTGAAAAGAGAGGAAAGAAAAAGAAGAGGGTCAGGGGACTTGCCTTGCCTCTCTTTTTCTTGCTGGTTGGGATGAAAAAGGAGGAGGGGTAAAAAAAAAAACATTGGACCCAGTGCAGGTAGAAAAGAGCAAAAATAGTGAGCAATAAAAAAAAGCACACAGGTTTGTGTAAGAGGATTTGATTTGAAGTGATGACTGGGCAGTGAAATGCGTCAGCCGGCAGCCGCCCGTCCCTCCGCACCACACCAGGCCATGTAAAGTTAGAAGGGAGACAGCTGATCAGACTGCCAGAGAAGGAGATGGAGCGAGATAGTGAGTGCTGACAGAGCTGAAGGACAAATCGGGAAGAGGGACGTAGGGAGGGAGGAAGGTAGGGAGGGGTTGAGAGAATGAAAGAGGGAGTAAAGAGAGACAATGGGTGAGGAGAGCAGGAAAAATAGTAATAGAGTAAAATAAAATAGAGGGAGTGGAGGAAAAGGCTAGAGAATTAAAGTCAGAAATTAGGGGAAAACAGGAGGTTAGCTAAGGAGATTAAATGTATGGAAGAATGACAGGAAAAAGGGTGATAGAAGCAAGGAAGGACAGTACAAACATGGTGGGAGGTAAAAAAGGGATGTTTGGATGGATAAAAGGTGGTGAAAAAAGCAAAAAAAGAAAGAAAAAGGAAAAAGAGGAAGGTAAAAAGGAACAGTAGAATGGGGAGCATTTCTCAATTATCTCTTACTCTGTCCTGTCCTTTTGCCCCCATATTCCACGTCACTTTCCCCGTTATGCTGTCCAGCGGTCGGTGAAAACAATTCCTCCAAAATAAAGAAAGAAAGACGACAAAATGTTGTTAACGTAAAAAAAACGAGAGAGAAAAGGTTCTTGAGTAAAAGGTCAATTGATACCGCTCACAGGCAGTGTTTGTGCATTGTTTTGTTTTTTTCAACGAAGTGTCAAGAATAGACGAAAGAAAGTCGGAATGAGAACACCGTGCGGGGGGAGCAAGCAAGAGGTTTCAGCGTGATCAGAGGAAACCCCCACCATCCCAGGGTTTTTATACCAAGGTAAGAGCCAGAGACGCGTGCCCCTCCACAATCCCCGCCCTCGCAGCCGTGCTCCACGGCCTTATTTAGTGAAGTGTGGCAAAAAATAGCCTCCCAGTGCTGCTGGGGGGTGTCTGGTTAAAAGTAGGTGGGTGGGAGACTGGGAGGGACAGGGCAGGGAAGACTGGAAGGTGAGGCAAGTGGGGGATTTCAAGGAAGGTTGGGGGCGGTGGGGATGATGCAGTCACTTCTGATCATTCTCTCCGTTGTTAGGTCCTCTTAATTGAAGGAATGTCAGGAAAATGGGATCTTAGCATTTAAAGCGTAATGTGTAAACATTTCTGCATTAAAGCTGCAGTAGGTAATTTTTATAAAACTTTGTGTCATATTTGCTGAAATCTTCACTATTTTGTGCTAGAAAATCAGGTTCCTCTGGCTCCTCCTAGTGCTCCTAATGGTATTTGTTATTGTTTATTCAGGTAACGCTGCCTTTCAGCGGTCGCCTATCGATGGCGTTATATCCCCTTTGTGCCTGCGTCAGCATTGTGGTTGTCTGCCAGAAGCTGTCATACACTGACTGTTTATCCAGTCTGAAGCCACATTGTTACCATCCACTGTTTAGATCTTGGTTGTGTTTGGTTGGTCCGCCAAATTTCTAGTGTAGCCAAGAATGAACAAATGCAAGTTTCGTGGCCACGTCTTACATGCTTGGAAGGGAAAGGTGAGTGAGGAGTTTGCAATTTGCAGCTATACTGCTAGATGGCACTAATGACTTTGGTCTGCGATCCTTTCACATTTCATTTTATTTGTCCAGCACTGTAGTTCATGACCAAATGCCTGCCAAACTAATGACATTCCATCAGCCTCAGTAGCCTGTACCTTTTGTTTAGTGCTAATTAGCTAATGTTAGCATTCTAACATATTAAAGTAAGATGGTTAACATTATGCCTGCTAAATATCAGCATGTTAGCATTGTCACTAGCCTTGTTTTCATCAAAGTATTTCTTTGCGCATTTTGAAGTATTGCATTAGTCACACTCACCTGAGGTGGTTCTTTGCCTTTTTTAAAAACATGGTTGATGCACTTAAAGGAAGACTTTTTCTGAATAAGTTGTGACATAGCAAATATTTAACTCACATGACTGATTAGCTGTTTCCACTGAGAGTCTCCTCATGGCTCTATAAGACATCCATGATGATGGAACCTTCCTCACATTAATACATAATAACAAAACTAATAGAAATGTCATATTTCCATATTGTTTTCTTTTTTCACCATTTGAGCTCCCACTGGTGCTTTTTTAATTACGTCATTGTGTTGTGCCCACCTACTGCTTATCTCATGAACCAACTCTTAATATCTGCATAACGGTAGTGGATAAAAAACAAGCATCAATTAGCATTTTCTTTTGAAATTACTCAAAATTCTGCTTAATTCAATTCACACATTTGGATGGAGCTAGAGCATGGAGCATTTTAGCATGTTAGCTCAAAGCATTTTGCGAAAAGCACCAGTGTCCACCCTCACATGGCTGCTAGCTTGCAAGGGCTGTAGACTCTTAGTCTTGTTATTGTCTTTATATTTAGTAAATTTATAAAAAAAAAAAAAAAAAAAACAGTCGTCCATCTTGCAAGCATAAAGTAATTGTGTTGACATGAGCTAGATAGCTAGCTTAAAAAAACACTGGCATAATGGCCAACATTAGGGAGAAGAGAACGCTGTGCAAAAAGAAAAGGAGGATTTACCAGGGCAGTTATACTATATTGACCATGGCTTTATAGGGAATGGACAAAATCAAAATTGTGTGTGGTCAGACAATTCACCCACCACATTAAACAGCTTCAGGAGGAGGAGGAGGAGGAGGAGGAGATGAAATCATACAGATGACCTGTCAGTGAGAGCTTTTGGCGCTGTTAAATAGGCATGCAACAAACTATTGTTTGGCTATCATGAAAATCACACCCGTCATCCTATCACTGACCCATTGCTCTCGTTGAATGCTGGGGTGCTTGGAAGCCCGTTAAAGCAATAGTTTGACATTTAGTCCAGTATGCAACTTCTGATGAACAAGAAACTAGAAGCCACCAGTGCACAAGACTCCAGCAAGTCACCACACCAGGCCATAAAATAGTCCGGCACATAAGCCCCAGTATAACCATCTTCTGGACCCATGTGACATGAAAGTAATAAATAAATAAGCTTTTGGTGCAAAATTGTGTAAAACATGCCTAAAAATATACATTGCTAGTTATTCTTCTGCAGTCAGACAGTTCGTTATTGGGTTCAGTGTATCGTTCTAAATAGTTCTGAACTGTTATTGTTAATGTCATGTATTGAATATAGTACACATTATCCATAAAAATGTGTCGAAAGAAGTGCTTTATTTTTTAGTACTATCCCAGACTGTGAGTGGGTTTGTGGTGCTGTTTAGTGTGCTTTTTAATTCTGTAGCTTTTTTATTCTTTAACACAACTGAACTGTTACTGCTAATGTTGTGCATTAAATATAACATAAATTATAAAAGAATGTGTCAAAAGAAGTGTTTTATTTTTCAGTATTGTTCCAGTGTATGAGTGGGTCTGTGGAGTTCCTTTAACACAAGTGGATTACAAGAGTATTTTCAAAACCAAAACATTTAAAAAAAACAACAGAAGCACAGAGACATTGACACATGGATAGGAGTGAATAGGTCTCAGGGCTGAGAACCACTGAGAAACAATTTTTTTGACTCAAAACTAAATCTTTTTTGTGTTTCCTAATCATGTGGAAGTCCATATTTTTAATGCATGTGACTGAATGACATTAGAAAAATCACTGGTTATTTACACACTGCCTGTGTAACTCCACCCTCTCTAAAGCCTTGTCCTTCAGAGTTGACAAGTTTTGATATCGGCACCACAGCTAATGCCTCCATAAGCCCGAGCACCCCCACGTTCCTCCCCCGTCACCGCCCCCCTGACGAATCTCCCTCCTGTATTTTTAGCCCTGCCAAATAAAGAGGTGTGAGCCCTTCCACCGCCAAACATCCACACACACCCTCCCCACACTGACAATTCACCAGTTGTAGTCCCAACACCCTGCACCAGTCCTCAGTACCTGTCACTGCATTTGGTGACACCATAGTGGTGCTGTGTGTGTGTGTGTGTGTGTTTGAGAGAGAGAGAGAGAGAGAGAGAGAGAGAGAGAGAGCGAGAGGGAGGAAGAGAAGCAACCCTCATACAGACAGCAGGGTGAGAGGTGTTCACTTTGTGTGTGTCTCCAAGCTGATGAAGAGTCTCAGGTGAAGCGAATGTATCTGTGGAGGAAGCGGCCGAGAGACGCGGCAAGATGGAGAGAGAGAGGACCTGGGAATTGAGAGGACAGGAGGAAGGGAGGAGAGATGGGGAAAGAAAGGATATTGATTTCCACCTTAAAGAGGCAATCTCCGCTTCTCAGGAGCACTGGGGACTGAGTGTGTGTCTGCACTTCTGTGTGTGTGTGTGTATGATCTGTCCTGGGATCACAGCGGAGAGTGGAGACACCGGCGCAGACATCAAGCGCACACACATGCAGTTTTGGAATGTTAATGATGTTAAAAAAGAAAAATAAAGAGCAAAGCAAAAGACAAAATTACATCTTTAAATGACTCACTTTTCTGCTGTGCTCCTTCACAGGCATCCCACTACTCCAATTAGTCTTGTTATCTTTAATCTTTTCCCTTTTTCCACTTCTTAATGTCCTTTTTTTCTGTTTTAGAGGTTTTTTTACAATCATTTTCTCCAAAACAATTAGCACAGCATCTGTCAGGTGCAGGGGCAGATCTAAAAAAAATGCCTGGCCACCCCAGCTTCATGTCAAATGGTGTCAAATTTAACACATTCATTTAGATTAATTTTAAAAATAACATGTTAAAAAATGTATATCTGAATTTCGGAGCTTTTCCAAGCCAATATCAATATATTTGATTGTTTGTGATTAAATCAGTATATATTTTTGACATCCCTTAAAGTCTTTATGACCTCTGGACACCCCATTAATATTTCTCTAGATCCTCTAGATGTTATTTTTTTCACATTTTGCAGTCAATTAATACAATTCTAAAATGTTGAAATTTTCCTTACATACAAGTTTACCTAATACTAAAATGATAGATCTTTCTTAGTCTCATTTACAAATGCGTGCACACAGCATGCCAGCTAACGTTCAAAACCTTAAAGCTGCAGTTAACTTCTATAAAAATAACTTTTTTCCCACAAATTTTTCACTATTTTGTTGCTCCACAAACTAATGCGTGACGTCAAGTATTTTCAGGCATTTAAGCACACTTGAAGCAATTAAAATTCAAATGTTATTAGTGACATCATCTAAATGTTATATTTATTTTATTATTGGTTGTATTTTTTGTGAAATTGTTAAAATGTATTTAATATGCCGGGTATTTGTTTGTTTATAGGAAGGCACATTTGTGAACACAATTATTAATCCACAAATCTTCATACAAACTTGTGATTTCCTTTTTCATTTGAGGATCATGAAACATGTGTCACTAGTCTTGACACTAATGTTTCTCCATAAAGCAAAGAGCAATGCAATCATGTAAAAGTTAATATAACGCATACCAAGATGTCCCACTTTGTTGGGGCTTTTCTTGTCATCTGTGAGGTGAAGTGCTCTGTTCTGTTTGTCTTTGTGATTGGGTCAGTGTGAAAGGCTGCATTGAGCCAGATTACATCTTTAATTTCTGAATATGCAAAGTGAGTGATGTGTTTGCCTTGTGTGTTTTTAATTTATGCTCAAGTGTATGTGCAAGCATTCCCGCTCCCCGCCCGCCTCGTCCCAGTTGTACCTGCAGTGATGCATGCGTGTGTGTGCTGATCTGTGCTCCTGCGAGTTGTTGACGGGCACTATAGAGTCTGTACGCTCATCTGATCCGGCTTGGCGAGCAGACAGAATAATAAGGTTGTGTTGTAGGACAAAAAAACA